AGAATTGCTTGAACCTGGGTGGCGGAGGTTGCAGTGAGCCAAGATTGTGCCACTACATTTCAGCCTGGGCAACAAGAGCGAAACTCCATCTCCAAAAAAAAAAAAGAGGGAACAAAAATAGAACTTGGCTGGACGCAATGGCTCATACCTGTAACCCCAGCACTTTGGGATGGTGGGGTGGTTGGATCACTTGAGGCCAGGAGTTCAAGACGAGCCTGGCTGATGTGGTGAAACCCTATCTCTACTAAAAATACAAAAAAAAAAAAAAAAGCTAGGTGTGGTGGCACATACCTGTCATCCCAGCTACTCGGGTAGCTGAGGCACGAGAATCACTTGAGCCTAGGAGGCCCAGGCTGGAGTGAGGTGGCACGATCTTGGTTCACTGCAACCTCTACCTCCAGGGTTCAGAGTAGCTGGGACTACAGGCCCACACCACCACACCCGGCTAATTTTCGTTTTTTTCCAGTAGAGACTGGGTTTTGCCATGTTGGCCAGGCTGGTATCGAACCCTGAGCCATCACACCTGGTGAAAAGATACTTTGAAATGTAACATCGTTTTTCACTTCTAAATCAAGGTATTTTACCAATTTCAGTCTTTGGTACCTCCCCAAAAACTGATCTACCACATTTGCAGTTTCATTCATTTTTTTCAACATTAAAGAATAAACTTGAAGCGCTTACATTCTTGTGGGGGAAATAAGAAAAAAACACAGATAATGGTGGTCGCATGAAGAGTAAAGGGTAACCATTTGCGGTACGTGATGCTAGTTTTTTGTGTTTTTTTTTTTTGAGACAGTCTTGCTCTGTCACCTAGGCTGGAGGGCCATTGTGCGGTGGTGCGATCTCCGCTCACTTCAACCTCCACCTCCTAGGTTCAGGCAGTTTTCCTGCCTCAGCCTCCTGAGTAGTTGGGACCACAGGTGGCCACCACCACGCCTGGCTAATTTTTGTATTTTTAGTAGAGATGGGGTTTTGCCATGTTGGCCAGGCTGGTTTCAAGCTCCTGGCCTCAGGTGATCTGCCTGCCTCAGCCTCCCAAAGTGCTGGGATTACAAAGGCGTGAGCCACCATACTCAGCCATGTTTTTGTTTTAAAAATAAGTATTTTCAAAAAAAAAAAAAAAATAGAAGAGTAACGTTTTGTATTTCTGCAAATATTTTTTTTCTGGCTTAATAGAAGACACTAGATTCTGATATCTGCTTCTGTATCCCATCTGTTATATGCTGTTTTGGTTGAAGTATATGAAGAAAATCTCGCCCCACTCAAATATAAAGTTGGAAAAGGGAGGAGTATTTTAATAGCTTTCTCTGATAATTATGGATATTCTCTTTGATACTACACCAAAATATGACAAGTAGTAGAGTTCCTTAAAGGTTAGTTGCAATGTGGATTCTGAAATCATATTGATGAGCTTTTCTAAAGCCCATTGGTGTACCTTATATTTAAATATAATTTTTACCTATGTGTGATATTTGTAACACCAGTCCAGTCATTGATCATTTGGAAAATAATTGGTTCACTGAGTTATGCAAATCTTCCAAATGTTGACACATTTGGATATACAATGTCTAAAATAAAATACCATTAATTAATATTATCATCAATCTCATTACAAAAATCTTTTAAGTCTGAGGAAGCTATAAGGGCACAGAGGTGTATACAAGCCTTCCAAAATTTTAAGTTTCATTTGGAAGCTTGAGTTTTATCATTGGCAACAAATACCATCAGTTTTTTCCAAGCTTACTTGTTCTTTTTTGAGCAAGTCTCTGCCAAAATTACCCCTAAAATATGAGTAATTTGTCAGATTTTTTTCAACTAAAAATGTTCTGTGAAAAAAGCAGCTAGTTCAGCTTGTATCTCAAACAATTGTAACTACTTTTTCTAGGGGAAAAAATATCTAGAAATCCATACTTTGTGGCAGACGTGCTTCATGCATACTTCCCATTTTGTCACACAGCATATCAAAATAACGTGCACTCAAGGTCTACTAACAACTAAAATTCCAAAACTGCTAAACAACTGCTGAATAAGGTAATCCAATTTTTAAATATTTTATTTTATTTGAGACAACATCTCACCCTGTCACTCAGGCTGGAGTCCAGTGGTGTGAACACAGCTCACTGCAGCCTCAACCTCCTGGGCTCAAGCAATCGTCTCACCTCAGTCTCATGAGTGGCTGGGACTACAGGCATGCACCATCATGCCCGGCTCACTTTTTTTTTTTTTTTTTTTTTTGGGAAAGGGTCTCCCTCTTTCCCCC